TGTACATTCTATTCTATTCTGTTCTTCTATTCTACCTCCTGTTCTATATTCTGTTTTATTCTGTTCTTCTATTCTATTCTACCTCCTGTTCTACTGTATGTTCTGTTTTATTCTGTTCTTCTATTCTATTCTACATTCTGTTCTACATTCTATTCTATTATTCTATTCTACATTCTTTTCTATATTCTGCTCCATTCCATTCCACCTATCCTATCCTATCCTATCCTATTCTATTCCTTTTTCTATTCTATTCTATTCTTTCATAATTCTATTCTATTCTTTCATTATTCTGTTCTATTCTATTCTATTCTATTCTTTCCTTATTCTATTCTATTCTACATTTCTCTATTCTCTATTCTATTCTATTCTATTCTTTCCTAATTCTATTCATTCTTTATTCTATTCTATTCTATTCCTAATTCTATTCATTCCTTATTCTATTCTATTCTATTCTATTCATTCCTTATTCTATTCTATTCTATTCCTAATTCTATTCATTCCCTATTCTATTCTATTCTATTCTATTCTATTCTACCTCCTGTTTTATTCTGTTCTATTCTATTCTACCTCCTGTTCTACATTCTATTCTATTATTCTATTCTACATTCTGTTCTATATTCTGTTCCATTCCATTCCACCTATCCTATCCTATTCTATTCTATTCCTTTTTCTATTCTATTCTATTCTTTCATAATTCTATTCTATTCTTTCATTATTCTGTTCTGTTCTATTCTTTCCATATTCTATTCTATTCCATATTTTCTCTATTCTATTCTATTCTATTCTATTCTATTCTATTCTATTCTATTCTATTCTATTCTATTCTATTCTATTCTATTCTATTCTGCCTGGTTTCACCTAACCTACATGGGGACTTTGGGTTTTTCCTGCCTAAGCGCTTACGCTAGTTCCCCTCTGCTCCGGATGACAGACGGCTGCGAGGGTGGGAGAGATGACATGGGTGGTGGTGACGGATATGTCTCCGCTCAGGTTGTGACCCAGCTGGAAACCGGGGTTCCCGACACAATTCTCCTAGAAATCAAAACAGCACATCACCTTTTTTCCCCGGGCTGGCTGGTGATTCACAAGCAGTCTGGACCGGTCTGGGATGGTTCATCCCTAACCTTTTGCACCAAAGCAGGGAGACAAAGGGGAAGGGGGGGTGTTTTGCAGCCGCCCACCTGCCTTTGCAAATCTGACATGTCTCCCAGGCGTTTTTGTGGCTGATGCAATTTATATTCCGACTCCTCGGCCTTTTTGCCTCGTCTCGAAAGGGTTCCTGCTTCCCTCTTGACTTGGCCAGCCCAGAAGGTCGCAAAAGGGGGATCCACGCCACCGTCGTAAAGACGAGTCAGTTGCCCAGCGTCTGAATTTTGATCCCGTGACCACGGGGGAATGCTGCAAACGGTCATTAAGTGTGAAAACCGGCGCTACGTTGCTTTTTCCGGTGCCGTGGTAACTTTGAACGGTCACTAAATGAACTGTCGTTAAGCGAGGACTACCTGGACCGTGTGTTCCACAGGCAGGTAGGCTGCTTTCGTTTAGGGACTGTTCGAAGTTAGGGCGGCACCTTAAAAAAAAACGGACTCGGGACCATTTTTTTCACTCTTAACGACCGTTGCAGCATCCCCCTGGTCACGGGATCAAAATCGGGGAACGTGGCAAACTGTTGTGTACTTGAACGACAGTTGCAATATCCTGTGGGGGGGGGGGTGTCACATGATTTCCCCTCGTTTTGTGACTTTCCCAGCCGGCTTCCGATAAGCAAAAAAGTCAAAAGGGATGCCGGATTCATTACATGACCATGCGGTCGATTTAACAACTGGAGCGATTCGCTGGGCGACAAAAGTTTGTAAAAAATCAGGCACGACTCCCTTAAGGACCCGCCTCGCTTAGCGACAGGAGGCCCCCAATAAGATGCAAGGAATGCAAGGGAGAAACGGAGGCCTGGAGCAGAAAAAGTCCTGTTCACCCCCCAGGGGCGTGGGAAGTGGGGGGGGGGAAGCCGCAATTCGAACCCAAGGCTTGTGTTTCCCCTCTCTTAAAACGGAGATGTTATTAGATTTGGAGAACCAAGCGACTACCCACAGGTGCAAGTTCCAACGCGCCCAGGGTTGGCAGAAGCTGGCAAACTGGTTGAACTGGTCTTGAGGATAGATAACCAAGCACAGACGGCAAAGTGGGGGTGGCGAGGTCTCTTTTCGGCCTCCCCCCCCTCAACAATGCAAGATTTGGGGCGATCTAGCCACCCCGTTGGCAAACTCCAAA